AGATTCAATGAACACACCAGAACTACCAGTATTTTCTAAACGAATCACTAGGATAGCTTGTAAGTTGGCAGGATTCATGTTGAAAGGCAGTTCGCTTGCAAAAACATGCCAGAAGATTTAGTAGCAAAAAGAGTTTTGTGGAAGGAGCGTACTGAGTCTTCCGTCGACAAGAGTTCGGTTTCACCACAATCATCACTGACCGACCATCACTCAATTAGACGACACGGTACCTGTCAGATAGGACATCCAGATCGTGCGTTTAGGCTCGCAGATCGCGGCCTAAGCACACAGTGAGTGAGTGAGTGAGTGAGTGAGTGAGTGAGTGAGTGAGTGAGTGAGTGAGTGAGTGAGTGAGTGAGTGAGTGAGTGAGTGAGTGAGTGAGTGAGTGAGTGAGTGAGTGAGTGAGTGAGTGAGTGAGTGAGTGAGTGAGTGAGTGAGTGAGTGAGTGAGTGAGTGAGTGAGTGAGTGAGTGAGTGAGTGAGTGAGTGAGTGAGTGAGTGAGTGAGTGAGTGAGTGAGTGAGTGAGTGAGTGAGTGAGTGAGTGAGTGAGTGAGTGAGTGAGTGAGTGAGTGAGTGAGTGAGTGAGTGAGTGAGTGAGTGAGTGAGTGAGTGAGTGAGTGAGTGAGTGAGTGAGTGAGTGAGTGAGTGAGTGAGTGAGTGAGTGAGTGAGTGAGTGAGTGAGTGAGTGAGTGAGTGAGTGAGTGTGTGTGTTGTGGGCGGGCTGCTACACGACAGGGGCGTCAAAGCCTTGACGGGCAGATAATTAGAATCGACTCATATGCCGGCCTTTGGTGAAAAATGGGAGAACTTCATGTACTTCAAGCAACCAACGGTCCCGTTTGTTCTAACTTCGAAACCTGAAGGGCCAACAGACTGTTCCTTGAGAGTCTTCTCATTAGCTCAGAGGCTCTATTGATGTCACTCGGCCATCTGTAGTGTACTTCAGTTGGTTAAGAACATACACAGGCCACCACCTTGGGGTGCGTTCAAAAGGGAAACATACACCTTACGCAATCCGTGTCCCAATTAGGTACGGCGTGAGAAGCTTCTCGTTTACACATTCACTAGTTAAATGATCCTGCACCCGAAGTAATCCCATCTACCATTTCAACTAGTCTTCTTGAACCCCACGGATCCACAGTCATCATCATCATCATCATCGATGGCATGATATCAGTGTTCATCACCGACGGTTCACTGGCGTACAACAATGATTTATTCGAGAGCCTCATTGCAAAGAAAAGAGTAAATTTGGACGGGGAAGGGACTAAGTGTTAGCTTACCACAATCATTCCGAGGTGCCTACACCTCCAGACACTCACTCAGGCGATCTGGATAGAAACTGACAACAAGAATGCCACTGACAGCCATATTTTGCAGGGTCTCAAACCAGACACAGTGAGGATCACGCGGTCTCCATCCTGGAAGGTGGTCAGTAGCGACAGCACCCAAGCTTTTCGTGATCTCCTTCATACTCCTCTACCAAGTCAAGAGTTGGCCACCTCTCTGTTTACGCCACTCCGAATCGGGCATGGAAAACAGCACCCTCTTCGGCAAACGATGGTTCGGCATACGTAACACATGTCCCAAGCAAAATTCCCACAAGAATGCCACTAACAGCCATATCTTGCAGGGTCTCCAACCAGACACAGTGAGGATCACGCGGTCTCCATCCTGGAAGGTGCTTAGTAGCGACAGCACCCAAGCGTTTCGTGATCTCCTTCATACTCCTCTACCAAGTCAAGAGTTGGCCACCTCTCTGTTTACGCCACTCCGAATCGGGCATGGAAAACAGCACCCTCTTCGGCAAACGATGGTTCGGCATACGTAACACATGTCCCAAGCAAAATTCCCACATTCTTCTATGGAAGTCCCCGTTGCACAACCGAAAACGCGCGTTCTGATTGCCTCTTTAGGGATACGCCGACACCAACCCACACGAGCTATGGTTCTGAGACAACGATTATGGAACACCTGAAGGCGTCTCAGTTCCGCTGCTCGATAAGACAAGTCTCACAGCCGTACAACAAAACAGCTCGTACTGCAGCTTGATACACACGTCGCTTCCACAGTAAACGAATACACTTCGTCTTGTAAGTGAAGCCACTCTACACCAATTAACTCAGTATCACTGTACAGCAGTTTTAGTCGTGTTAAGAAACACCGACAGGAACAGAACGTCAACTGATGAAAATATGCGAACAATAAAGTGGACGGTTCGATAAACACTCACCAAATCTTTGTGAGCACCGTTTCTCCTGGAACCAAGAAGCGTTTCTTGCCTGTTCCCCATCGCTATAGCTCAGCCACAAATGAAATGAGACCTCTGTGTTCCAATGGTTTAACAATAGGACTGTTAAGTTAACTGATGGGTGTTTCTTTCGCCTACGGTGCTAATTCAACAGACCACCCAACGGGTTTCTTAACGTGAGAAAAATTTGTGCCTCATTAGAAGACTTCTGACTATCAGGCAAGCTGTGTTTACATAGATCTGCAGTCAACTTTGGGGCGGTGTTTTTTCATGACAGATTGTTTCACCTCGACAAGAATTTCCAGTAGGCTTTTGCCTGGGTTAACAAGCGCGCCGAAATTTGTTAGAAATACGACCACAAGTGGGTGATCGAAATTGCTTTCAGTATTAAGTATAGTATGGTGAAGTACTGTATAGCATAGCACACTGTACAGTGTAGTATCGTGCATACTATACTATACTATACTATACTATACTATACTATACTATACTATACTATACTATACTATACTATACTATACTATACTATACTATACTATACTATACTATACTATACTATACTATACTATACTATACTATACTATACTATACTATACTATACTATACTATACTATACTATACTATACTATACTATACTATACTATACTATACTATACTATACTATACTATACTATACTATACTATACTATACTATACTATACTATACTATACTATACTATACTATACTATACTATACTATACTATACTATACTATACTATACTATACTATACTATACTATACTATACTATACTATACTATACTATACTATACTATACTATACTATACTATACTATACTATACTATACTATACTATACTATACTATACTATACTATACTATACTATACTATACTATACTATACTATACTATACTATACTATACTATACTATACTATACTATACTATACTATACTATACTATACTATACTATACTATACTATACTATACTATACTATACTATACTATACTATACTATACTATACTATACTATACTATACTATACTATACTATACTATACTATACTATACTATACTATACTATACTATACTATACTATACTATACTATACTATACTATACTATACTATACTATACTATACTATACTATACTATACTATACTATACTATACTATACTATACTATACTATACTATACTATACTATACTATACTATAACTATACTATACTATACTATACTATGCCGCCATTTGTGAATCCTAAGTTCACTTGTACAAATCGTGACAGTCCTGGACTGATTCAGTCTAATAAGGAACATTTTTGTTTACTGTAGCTGGTGTGGCCAGTACTTAGTACACTTATGCAGAAGGTTGTTGGCAATGCCAAGATATTTTTTCTTAGTTGTTGGAAGAATACACAACCAACTAGGCCCCTCTATGAAGGTTGTTCATCACTCTTGTGCGCTGGATTTCCCCGGTCCCCCCATCCAATCACATTCATATCTCACGCGCCTGCTGAGTTCAGAACCAGAAAAATAGATTAATTCAAACCGGACAAGAAACCGACGGAAAAGTCGAAAACGGACATCTACTGAGACACTCCACTAAAACTGTCTGTCGCATGAATAGTCTCTGTTTTCCGGTGCCTAGACAATATTAAGTCAGCAAGCTAGTCACATAAGAGATCAATAATCCATCAAAGTGGATTAAATCTAAAGCAGTTAAATCCATTCAGCAATTCAACGCAACATTTGATGTTGGAATTTAGAATTCTGGTCGGTCAGTGAGCGGACGTTTAGTCGCTTTGAATCCAGGTGCAATGTTGCTACGCAACGCTTCCGTGAAAAGCGCTTTTCGAGCACCAGGTACGATAGCTTATAACTATTCCGGAAAGCAATGAGCGAAAACTTTGCGGTTCATTAAGTGACGCGGTCAACCGAGACATAACTGTTACCGCGTACTCGAAAGGAATATGTTCATAGAACCACCTCCAACGGGAATAAATCAAATTTCGAACAAGAAAACTTCGTCGAAAACACATGAGTCATAGATATGTTTCCCAAAACTTAACGCAGAGATTACCGCTAATTGAAACAGCGGAGAATTTCGTTATTGGCCACAATACATTTTGTAGAGCAGTTCAGATCGAATGGCGGAGTGAGAATCGATAATGGTTTCAGTGTCATGAGGACGGTGTTCAAGGTCAAATGACGGGCCAACACTTGGGACTCACACCCACCTGTGAGCCATTGCAGCCAATGGTAGGTGAACATAACATTGATCTATTTTACACTGTTAGAAGAACTCACTTGCTCTCATACTCACTGAGGCTGCTAAAATCGATCGATTTAAGTCTTCATTGTTTGTTCTCGGACATAATGAGTATAACGTTTTCATTGATTGACCTATCTATCAATCTGTGACTACTAGCTGGTTGTGTAGAGACTACGAAAGCTCAACTCTCTTACTAATGACAGTTTAGTACTGTCAAACCATGCAGGCACAGCTGCCTTCTCCGGTTTCTTGAATATGTTGTTTAAATAGTCTAATTCATTTTGTAATGCGCTACTTATAAAAAAGCGCATTAGTTTGCAAATGAGTGTATACTCTCTAATTTCGTGCAATTTGTTTTCGACAGAAACTCATTTTGTAATGCGCTACTTATAAAAAAGCGCATTAGTTTGCAAATGAGTGTATACTCTCTAATTTCGTGCAATTTGTTTTCAAGTTGACAGAAACTCAAGAAATGCGCCTACCTGATGAGCCCCAAGAAGGGCGAAACCGGTTGTGGGCTTTGGAAGATTTTTCAGCAACCTTATGAGTAGTACATTACAGAGATATACATGTATCGGGATATCTCGAATATCGTAGCGACTGAGACGTGAGGCGGCTTGGTGCAGCACATTCATTGGCTGGAAACCTGGCCTAATGTATTGTTCACTCGAGTGTAGAATAACACAAGCAGTCAGATGGGAAGAAGAAAGAACCGGGCTAAATTTGCATTTTGTGACTTTTTTCGCTGTTAATCTATCACTTGTATTTCCGTGTTTTTTATCTGCCCCTGTTTGAACTTTTAGCTGTATACTGAATTGACGACACGGTCCTGAAGCGCTCACTGTGTTCACTGTGCTCACTGTGTTCTTGTTCAGGCCTTGTTACTTAGATCGTCACCTGCAGACTCCTTTCTTCAAAATGTCCTACTGTAACATTATGCCGTCTTTCTCCGGCACATACTGCGCAGACCCCAGACCAGGCATGTTGACTGATCGATTGAAATTCAAATTTGTGTCATCGTCCATCTCAGTGATACTTTGGGTGGGAAGACTTATGTAACCGGTGTTTACTTGTTACATTTTTCAGTTAGATCACCGTATCTTGTTCCCATCGAAGACGTTCGATAGTGGTTTGGCGAAACCCATGACATATCAGGACAACTCTGATCTGAACAACAAAGCCTGGATAAGAGATAGATGATTTCACATCTCACGTCCGGTCATACAGTTGAATTCAAGCACCGAGAAAGCAGGGGACGGAGAATGACGTAACCAGGACGCAATTTCGTCAGTGATATGCTTTTGTTCAACATAATAATGCACCTAGGATAATACCAACACAATACCCGTCGAAAAACATGGTCTCAGGCGCGTGGCTGTTACAAACTCTAGCGAAAATGAGCGATAAGTAGTCCAATCAAAACTTGATTGTTTCATAGGCAGCCCGATCATTACTTAGAACTGTTCGCGTGCGTGACATTAATGAATGTAGCCCCAATTTGGTTCAGTTCGCACAATACAAAGGTTATTTATAGTGTTAGGGCATTAAAGTGTTTTGCAATCATGGCACGTCCTAATCAGCAGGACTACAGATGTTAACTCACTGAAAAGGTATGTATTTCGTAAGCAAATTACCGTATTCTTTTTTCATTGGCACGTGTAGATCCCTAGATGCAAAAACTGTAGGAACTGTTATTTCGTACTAAAAGTAACATACGTGATTCTTGAGTGTGGATCGCGTCGGAATAGCTACATCTTGTTATCATGCGCCCGGGTGAGGTAGACTCGCTATAAATTCGAGAATTTTACGCCAAAGGGAACTTGAACTCACATTTATAAACCGCATACCCATTTACCTTTAGGCGGGATGCAATTTTGTACTTACATCATTCTTCTCTTCCCTGTGGAATTTCTAGCATCTAGTTTTTTGTTCGCTAAAAATTGTCATACAGACTTTTCGTGGAGTGTCCTCTTCTCTCCGCTATCATATAAAATCAGCTGACGGAACCCCCTGTCCCTCGATTCGGACGGATTCGATTCTAATCAGTGTGAATTTCCAATAGACATGGTTAACCGATCGATCGATGGGTGACCAATACTGCTTGCACATACGCCTAAATGGTGCACTACAAATCGACTTAGTTTTGAAAATATTATCCGAAAAGTCAATCGATCCGTTTTTTCAGAATGACGTGAATGTTGACTGAGATAGGAGCAACGGATATGATAAAGTTTCACAAAGAATTTTCTTGATAACGTTGCGGAATGTAGTAAATTCGGGAGCACTGGTTGGTTGTTCGTCTATTCGTCGAGCTTGGAAACGTTTCATCAACAATCAAGATGACATCGAGGTGACATTGTGTGAGTGAGTTGGTGACTTCCTATTGCTATCCCTGTACACAAAAATTTTGCAAACAGTATCTAATAACGCTAAAGTAATTGGTTGGTCCTGAAGTGGTTTTCCTGCAAACTGATTGGACAGTCGAGAATCTTATTTGCGTTGTAATTCCATTTTCTTCCATTTTGTTGGTACGTTGGATGCCTTCAGTTTGACAGTTCTGGTTAATTGGACGTTGTATTGATGCAGAAATCCCATTAGATAAACACATCAACCCATCTTTTTTCCTCTTGAAGTTTTAACTAAATATCTATTAGTCCGGTTTTAGAGTAGCTATGCGGTTTGTTGATTTTATGTCTACAACGCTCTTACGTTAAAAAATCCCCTACTGCCCAGATAAGAATGTATATTTTCATAAAGGAAACTACTCACAAGGTTGTTGAAAAGTCTTCGACAGCCCACGACTGGTTTCGCCCTTTTTGGGGCGAAACTGCGATATCTCGAATGTGATGCCAACTGAATCATGAGGCGGCCTGAGTGCAGCATTTTTAGTTGTAGAATATCATAAACGAGAGAGTCTCTCGTGAAAATGAAATTGAGTTGTAAATGAGTTTATTTCTCGAAAACAGAGCAATCTGGGTTCAAGTAGAACATAAGGTTGACGGAAACTCGGGGACTGCGCCCACTTGATGAGCCTCAAAAAGGGCGAAACCGGTCGTGGGCTGTCGGAGAGTTTTCAGCAACCTTGTGAGTAGTTTTTTTAAAGAAAAGACATAAGTTCTAGCGAAGACAATGGTTCGTTCATAAACACCAAAATTTGTACGACGTATTTTTGCACATTCCACTAGGAGCTTAAAGCACTACTGAATCGAAGTGAGGCTTTTTTCATATCTGAAATACAACGGCGGCTGCAGTTGACTTCGCGATACCACAAAATTTTCTCTATCGAATTACGACCAGTAGACATTCAAAAGCCATTAGTAAGTCTCCAAAAAGATGTTCCATTTCTTCTGTTATTATCAATTACACTGTCAACGAAAACGCCAAAACCGCAATGTCATACGGACTAACCGAAATTGGATTCTATTCGTCCGTGGGCCCTATTGGTCAATATTTGGCCGTGACAAGTGATAACATTATCGATTTCCTCAGACCACTGTGTGCTAGCGTCAAATCACGTGAGTCGCGTCGTTCGCACGAACAGCTCACATCTTGGTTGCGGGGAGAATTTGAAATTTTAAGGCAACCTACCACTTTTTGGGGGATGGGGAACTTTCACCACCCAGCAGAACTTTTGTGATTTGTGATGAACAAAGTTTCTTTAAAAAATAAACATTCAGAGAACGAAAGCTTTCCGTGAATAAGTTGAGTTGAACGTGAAAAAAAGTTGAACTGACGGAACTACTGAAAGGAAACATAAGGCGCGATGCCAAAATGGGGATAAACTAAAGCCATAAAGAAACAAAGAATGGAACATTGACTGAAAAGTGTTCGAAAAGAAAACTTCAACCACCTGCATCGAGTCAAAGATCTCTAGATGAAAGTAACTAAGCCCGATAATTAAAATCTATTAGGTTTATGAAAGAAATCACGAGTGATGAATTTCTAACTGTTTTTTCCAAATCTCTCACTAATTTTTAGACTAACTAACCGTATCCTCTCTAGCATAAGGTTTTGGGTCGTTTTTCGTAAACAGATTTGAGACAGTGTCCCTGATCTGTGAGCTGTCATCCCTAATTGATTTTTAACTCATCTAACTTACTGAGGTGCCTAAGGTGTAATCTGATAACCTAGGCCTATTTATCATTAGGTTTTGTTGGCAAAAAAAATAGCACAGCATGTGTTGAGCTGTAGTCACATAGGGAACCACTGCGTCTCCCCCCTCGCTTCCAGACTAAATAAAAAGATGCAAAAAATCAACTTTAAGAACCGGAAAGATTGGCGTGTTTCAGGTCTGCTGCTTTCTAGGAAGGTTTTTTATGAAAACCGGTTTCTTGCGCCCCCCCCCCCATTGATTTCTCTTCTGATTTCAAAAATCATTCGCGGATACATGAAGCTCGAGCCTCAGACTAACGTGAAACGTTTTTTGAACTCTCTATGTCTTTCCTCAAGCTATACGCTTGCCTAAACCACTTGGCAGAAGGTGTCATCGAGAATCAATACCAACTATCTGTAGAAACCACAGTGGCATGACAGCCACTACTTACCGTTAAAGAAGTTCGTGATTTGTCACTCGTTCTTCCCAATTGCGCAATATCTTCTGACCCACGTCGACCAAGTTCGTCGGAGAATTTCACATGACTACAAGAGTATCGTTTTGTGCGACAGGTGTGGTCCAGGGCAGACTCGGGATCATACAAAGCCGTTGGCGTTAGGCACCCTATTTTAGTAAAGTCAATTTGTTCGGGTTGACAAGGCTGTCGTTCAAGACTTGTCTTTCTGCTGGTGAGTATGCCCTTTTGAGGTCTATGTGGAGCGGCGGCCACACCACTTTCCGTTTCATAAGGTATCACATGTTCCATTGATTTTGAGAGTATCCCAGGTGGGGATGATGGCGATGCCAACGGGCTTCTGGGTGGCCTGGTCCTTTTCCGCCTATAGAACTGGTAGAACACAGAGGTGGCTTGTTGCTTCACAGAACTGACAAATGCACTTGGTTGACTGGCCCAGCTGAATCGAGAAGTGGAGCGAACCAACTCTGCCACATCTGGTGCATCTAAATTTGTGACCCCCGTTTTTCGACATTTTTGCCTGGGTCTTTCGAAATCCGCCTCGATTCGAGTGGTGAGGGACGTGGACCGGAGCGAGCATATTGCATCCATCTTCTCCGTAGAGCTCTCAGCGGACATCTCTTTTTGAGTCACATCATTATATTATTCCGTTCAGGTACATGTTTAGTAATCCGCGTGAGGTGCAATTCTATTCCCTGAAAGGAAGTGTAAAGCTGGAGCCTAATCCCCTTCAGCCAATCAGAATCCAGAGTACGCCACCAATCAGAGCTCGATTAGGATGGAGTGAACCCAACGTGCATACTAGTGTATTATCCTCAAATGGTGTGATTTGCATAAACGAATTACTAACACTACTTGTCGGCCTTTATGCAAAACCAGATGAAATCGATCTGCACTCCTGCGTCTCAACCACGCAGCTGTAAGGAAAAAACGGTTAAACTGCACCGCAGTCGCTGAGTTTGGAAACCACAGAAGTCTGTCGCGGAAACGAAAGCATAATTCCAGGAAGGAGGACTGAGATCGATAACAGAACTAGTGCTGATCGAGATGGTGCTGACACACAAACAGAC